AATGGAAAAGTTTTCCGTTAAAAGCATTTTTGGAAAAGTGCGTCTAGATTGGCAGGACGCTTTTCCGGAAAAGCACTTTTTGTGGAAAAGCGTCCGTGGCCAATCTAGACACGCTTTTCCGCAAAAAAGCCCCGATCGCCATTTTCGCGATTGGGACTTTTTTACGGAAAACAGTACTGGCCCTTTTGCGCAAAAGTCTTTCGGAAAAAGACTTTTGCCCGAATGGGAGCAGTATAGTTTTTCTGGAAAAGCACTGATGATTTTACAGTAGATCGTCAGTGCTTTTCCAGAAACTCAAGCGGCCAGTGTAGACAGCTTGCAAGTTTTTCCAGAAAAGCAGCTGATTTTCCGGAAAAACTTGCCAGTCTAGACACAGCCTAAGGGAAGAAGGGACCATTATGATCATCTAGTCTGACCCCCTGCACAATGCAGGCCACAGAATCTCACCCACCCACTCCTGGAATAATCCTCTCAGCTATATCTCAGATACTGAAGTCCTCAAACGATGGTTTAAAGACCCCAACATGCAGAGAATCCTCCAGCAAGTGATCCGTTACGTTCGCTGAATCCTTTTTTTTTTTTTTTTGGTTCTTTTTTGTTTTCTCAATACAGATGTTAGCGGGTATTCCTGGGAGGGTAGATGTCTTATAAAACATGGGGGAAAGGATAAGACTGAGCCTTTGAAAAAAGATGGGCTCCTTGTTCTGTAGGAAACAACCTGTTCCCCCATTGACGCTCAGGAGTGAGTGGACAAAAAGAGCTTCTTTCACCACATCCAACTTGCCAGGCCCCATGACCTCAGCAAGTAAATAGATGCCAATTAGCTGTTATAAATGCTGAGGTTTGTTAAATATGCTTGTAGGAAGCATCTGTGTTCAATCCAGTGAACCCTCAGCAAGTTTTGAGAGTTAAGAATCTAATTACATGGCTGATCAAATTATAAATGGATGTTACAGGGCAAGCTTGGGTCTATTTATTACACCACCAGAAAAACCTTTGTAACAATCAAGGCTTGTTTGGCTGCTTAAGTGCTGACTAGGCAGAGACATTTTATCCCTTTTCTATTAATCACCACCTTACCCAAGCACCTTTCCGCCTCGATCACAGTCCAGCTTCAGATGCCTGGTGCTATTTATTCATGCACCTCTCTTGGTGCAGGTAGAACAAAGGACCCCAGAAGCCTGGCACAGAGACAGGAGTCTTTCCGTTGTCTTCAGTGGATTCTGGCTCCCATCCACAGTGAGATTCAGATAGGCTGGCGTTCAGATCAATATTGTTGTTGGTAGCAGGGCTGGCAGGCAAAGTAACCATTACTCGCTAATACAGTTGATATTGTATATTACTTCCAGGACATGAGGGTTATGCCCAGTGAAAGACACTCTCATGATCCCAGGAATAGACCTTACCATAGTCCTGACTTCCCAAGGACATGTTGCTATGGCAGAGGTGGGTAAACACAGGCCCGCAGGCTGGACGGTCCAGTCTGTCAGGGTTATCCCCTAGTGGGCCTCCATATCTCTGTATTTTCCTGCACCTATCACAGCTTCAGCTGACTACAGATCGCCATTCCCAGCCAAGGGGATCGGCAATCACCGGTACCTGTGGAGGCGCAGGTAAATATAGCAGTAGAGGACTACCAGGGGCTAAGTGGAGGCACAGGTAAATATAGCAGTAGAGGACCACCAGGGGCTAACTCTGGTGAACCACTGCAGTTTTATTGTCCACTCCTGTGCTAAGGTATGGTCCTGGGTTTACACCAGGGTCTGGGACGGGGAGGGTTAAATTGCAGCTTATCTTGCCTTGCTTTTTCTCACGCCCAGTTTGCTCAAAGGCTGAGAAAGTGGATGAGGCATGTGTTTAAAACGAACAGGCTGACCCAAGAGAGCTCAGCGTCTACAATGAACTGCAGGGCAGGATGGCAGAATCCAGCAAGGAGATCGTTCGCTTTAACCTCCATTTTCGTAACCAGTCGCTCTTTCTGTGGGAATGATCATTCGAGCCCATATTGTGACCCTTGGAATTAATGCACCAGCCAAAGCCACTCAGGAAATGCCCCAACTAGACCAAGGTCAACTGGAGGGACGGGGGGAATCTTTGTGGAAGGAATCCCATGAGGAAATCCACGACTGAATTTCCTCACTGGTCCTCCCGGAAGGGAAGCTGGGGATGGAGTGCATGCGAAAGCCGGATACTTCTCTCAGTGACACCAGTGTGAATCTGGAGTGACTCCACTGACACATGTGGTTGCACCAGTATGTGACTGAGACAAGAATCTGGCCTAACCTCCAGGCATGCGGAACGGTGCGATATGACCACCAGCATTTCTCTGACAGAAGTGTCCTCAGCTAAATAATAATATAAATAATAACATTGCCCTTTTGAGGGGAGAACAGGAGGGCCGGGAATTTCTCCTTGCCTTGAGACTGGCTCCCTTTGTCCAGCCTGGAGACAGGTTGAATGTTGCTTGAGTACTGGATGCAGATGTTTCATGGAGAACACGAACCAGAGCTTTCCTTTGGGCCCCAACCCTATTTATTTATGTATTTGCAATGCCTTCTGAGAAGGCCCGAACAACCTGTTGTGTGAGACTCTTTGTACCTACCCTAGGGTATGATACCTCTGGGATGTTCAAGGCATGTCTCACATGAGGTAACCATAGCAACACCTCATCAGCTTCTCTCAGCTTCTGCTGTCAATTTGGTTTTTCGTCTTGCATTAAGGTGGAACCTCTCTGTCTTTCTTTTTTTCCCTCTCGCTCTCCTCCCCTTCTGCCTGCACAACCAAAGTCAAGAAAAACAGCCAGAGCTTAAGTCTCCATTTCTTTGCATTAGTTTTACCCTGGCACAACTGTGCTGTTACTCTCAATTTGCACTGGTGTATTTAAGAGGCAAATCAGGTGACTAGAGTTCTTTACAATGATAATAAAAATCTGGCTGCTTTAATTTCTTCATCCCATGTTAAGAAGCACTTCAGTATAACTGGGACATAATTAAGGGTTTTTCTTGCATTTGTTGCTAATGGGTCACTGTAAGGGTAAAAACTTCTATATTGTTTTTCCTTGAAAAAGTCCCTTTTCTCTATCAATAATAGCCCTGTGGATTAGTCAAGGGGGAAGGTTTTTAAACATCTAATTTAATTCTCACCTTTTAAATTCTTTGCTCAACGCTCACATTTAATGTAGCTTGGATAGAGAAAACAGATAAGTCAGTTTCACTTTGTTTCTTGTCAGTTTTTAGTCATTTTGCTGATACATCTCTACGAATCAGCAAAAGGCTGCAAGGTTTGGGTCTCCTGTCCTGCAGGGGAATCTTTCCTTTGTTAATAACATCTGGCTCTGTTCCAATACTTTAAAAAAATGCAAATATTTCTACTGGTCTTAAGTTTTGTAAAAATTTAAGTTGGGCCAAATTTGCCTTGCCAGTGTCCCTTGCAAGAGAAGACCTGTGAAATAGTCACCACTCAGTTATCAGGGAGGAAGACAGAATTTTGGTCCTGTGTCACTTGTAAATTGTTGTCCCCTACTTCGCCAAGTGGACTCAATGCCCTTTAGAGTTTTTAGCTTTTCCTTTTAGAAAGGGAAGAATATAAACTGCCAAGTTCGTTATGCTGGTAAATGAATGTCTGTGCACAGACAGCTGTTTTCTCCTTGTATTTTTCTTAACGGGCATATCTGCATTTGCCTTGCCTGTTTCGCACTTTCAGATCCACTTTCATCTTCCAAGCACTTTACAAACACCAACTAATAAATTCTCACAACATGCCTGTGGGGTAGACAAGTAGCCCCCATTTTACAGAGGAGAGAAACTGAAGCGGGGGGAGGGAGGAGTAAGTAATTTGCACAAGGCCACGGGGGATATGAGTGTCAGAGCTGAGATGTGAACTCAGCAGCTCCTCGCTCCCTGGTGTGCCAACCACTAGAGCGTGTTGTGGCGCAGTGAGGGAAATAACCACACCAAAGATGAGGTTCCAGGATCAGACCATACGAGCAGCACTCAACGGCTGTTTTATTTTTAAGCAAACTGTTTATAAAGAGAAAAATGTTTCTACTTTGTAACTGTCCTGTCTATCGGGGTCCTGACTAGCTTAGTCCTACATGCCACTGCTTGGGTACTATGATTTTTCAAGTGGGGGAGGGGAGGTTGAT